TGCGCCATTGATGAGTCCCATACTAGGACGAAACGACCATACATTGCTTTCAGGTTTCTAATTATGATCTAACAATTAGCAATTTATAATTTCATATACGTAGTTAAGGCTTTAATGATACAAGTTAGTGGTTTATGGATATAAATCACTCAGAATAATTAAATAATTTTTGTATATTGTATGACTGTATGGCGTGGGGCTAATACCACATTTGTAGAACAGAGAACTTACTTGCTTACTTACTTACTTACTTACTTACTTACTTACTTACTTACTTACTTACTTACCTACTTACTTACCTACTTACTTACCTACTTACTTACTTACTTACTTACTTACTTACTTACTTACTTACTTACTTACTTACTTACTTACTTACTTACTTACTTACTTATGCACTTACTTACTTACTTACATACTTACTTACTTACTTACTTACTTACTTACTTACTTACTTACTTACTTATTTACTTACTTTCTTACTTACTTACTTACTTATGCACTTACTTACTTACTTACATACTTACTTACTTATTTACTTACTTACTTACTTACTTACTTACTTACTTACTTACTTACTTATTTACTTACTTACTTACTTACTTACTCACTTACTTGTGCACTTACTTACTTACTTACTTACTTACCTACTTACTTATTTACTTACTTATGCACTTACTTACTTACTTAGTTGCTTACGCCTGTTACCACCAATGGAGTATAGGCGGCCAACCACTATTCTCAACCTTCTCTGTCCTGCGCCTCCTTTTTTCAGTTCTGTCCGATTTTTTCTCATTCATCTCATGTTTGTCGTTGGCCTTCATCTTTTTCTTTGACTAGAACAAGTGAACATAGTTGATTTGTGTCTTTCTTTGGCAAACTCTCCTGTAAGATACTGTTGAATAGTGTCAAAAGGCAAACTTATTGATAATAACAATCCTGTATCTGTCTTTGAACAGATTAAAAAGTTTAAGATAACAAACCATCCAACTCTTTGGCATATTTGCTAAAATATCCTCATAAAATATGTCCTTTATCTGTTCTATCAAAGTTTATGATAATGTAGTTAGATACACATGCGTAATGAACGAGAACGCTAAGACCAGAAGGCACAATTTACTATAGCAAAGGTATGTACACCTTAACTTTAACCTACTATTTGTAAAACAAACGTCTTCTAGTCTTGTTAAACACTTTAATCACACTATACATCCAGATATGACACCATTCTTCTCTTCAACAATATCATTCCACTGCATACTACTTATGAGCAATGTTGTGAGTAGTATGCACCAAGCAAGTAGAGTGTAAAAAATGTAATTAGAATCTATATGAAAGCATTTCTTTTATGAATCAATACCAGTAATGATCATAATCATAATCATGATGGCTATGAAGGTGGCGAAATACAAGTATCTTGACTTACACTACTTACCTATCTTTATTCTCCATTTTTTTGTCAGATTAGTTTATCAAATGAAGTGATTCATCGCTTAGTTGGACGCATTCATCGTCAAACCGATTATAAAGGACCAATAAGTTTAAATTTATTTGATGAAGCAATTAGACTGACTTTTAATGAAATTTTACCATTTTGGGCTGGATTAAAAAGAATATTTTACACAAATCCAGTAGTAAACAATCCCAAATACAGTCAACCATAAAATCAGATTATCATCAACAAACACAACAACATGAAGCTCCTTGGTTATCTAGTCCATTGAGTAAGTGTGGTGGATTTCTTTTAACTATATGCATACAGTAGTTTGGAGAGACTTGTTAGGATAAACTTAAATCACCGTTTGTAGATGGCTTCGAGAACTATCCTCATCTTTTTTTGATTTTCTAAACCGTTCTCTTACTTACTTACTTACTTACGCCTGTTACCCCCAATGGAGCATAGGCCGCCCACCAGTTTTCTCCAATCAACTCTGTCCTGGGCTTCCCTCTCCAGTTCTTTCCAGTTTTTGTTTATTCTTCTCACTTCTTTCTCTATTTCTCGGCGTACCTAAAAAAATGCTTGCTCTGGTTGTCAGAAGAGGCATCGGCCCCATGACTTCCGAGGGAAATTGGCTTTCATTACGAGACGTGATAATTCTACTTTCAAATCCCAGGGCAGAGTTAAAATTCTTTGATTTATTTGTTCTACTTAGCGATTTTTTGGCAAGTTAGTTTTTCTGGTGGGATGAAGTCGCCAACTCCATGTCCAACCATCCTCCTTTATCCGGGCTTTAGGCCGGCAGTAGCCCCAAAGGTTCTACAGGCGGAGTTTTAAACCGTTCTCTACCTGTGATAAATGATTTGGATGCTAGAATAGTCAAAAAAATACTACATGAGGTCTCAATACAACTCGCCATACAGTATTTTCAAATGATTTGTGTTTTTAAAAGTGAAAAACGTAGTCATTTAATTATTAACAAGTTTGTCTCGGTTGCCTTAAGGAATCCTTTAAAAGTGACTTACATTCCACCTTTTGAACACGTGACTAGAGTACTAAATCTTTGGAATTTCTTGATGACAAAAATTCAGGGGCTATTGTCTATGAATGAATGACAATCATCGTAAGGATAAATTCATTTACTATTATGTCAACGTCTGAAGGGGGAAGTATAGGATGTAGTGGATAACTACGATGCAGCTGGATGACCTAGACATTACAGATGATCTAGCTCTTGTTGTGTACGACAAACAACAACAAACACACATGCAGATAGTGGTGGTGTTTCGTTCTCTAAGCTGGTTGTTTTGGTTGTGGAGCTTTCACTGTTCTTCTGAACAACATCATCAACAGCACAAACTTCAGATAGAAGTGAAGCATTCGAATTTCTCCACGTCTGACCTGTAGCTTGTTCTGCTAACATCGATCCTGATTGGTTGCTATTGACTTTTGACCTGTCGTTGTTTGTTAATGTAGCGGCAGACGCTGCTGTAGTAGGTCTCAACATACACAAAGGGAAAAGCAAAATCCTACTATATAATACAATATGCACAAACCAAATTACACTTGATGGAGAAGCATGGGAATATGTGTAAACTGAGCACGGTGGATTTGGTGTAGATGTAAGGGTGTGGATTGACAAAACTAGGTTAGTATTTCTACAACTGAAGAATATCTGTAACTCAAAACAGCTATCAACCAACTATAAAGTCAGAATTTTCAATACAAATGTCAAGACAATTCAACTGTATGTGGCGGAAACTTGGAAAACTAAAAAAGCTGTCATACAGAAGATACTAGTGTTTATTAACAGTGGCCTATGCAAAACACTTCTGATCCTTTGGTCAGACACTATCAACAACAACCTACTGCCGTGGAGAACAAACCAGTTTTCAACGGAGGAGGAAATCAGAAAGCTCTGGAAGTCGATAGGACACACATTGCGTAAAGCACCCAAGTACGTCACAATACAATCCCTCACTTGGAACCCTCAAGTTTAAAAGAAAAGAGGAAGGCCAAAAAACACATTGCATTGAGAAATCGAGACAGATATGAGAAGAATGAACAAAAATTGCACAGAACTAGATAGGAAAAGCCAGGACAGAGAAGGTTAGAGAATACCGGTTGGCAACCTAAGCTCTATTGAGGGTAACTGACGTAAGTAAGAAGATGGGAGTTAAATGTTTTTAACAGCTTACTAATTTTCTTATAAATGACTTTTAGCACAGATTCCGTTTTCTTAATAGAATGACCTATGTTCATAAAACTTTTATTATTAATGCCCTTAATCACAATAACACTTTATGCCGTGTATGGTTTACCCATGTTTAGCAAGATTTTGTAAGTTCCTTGTAAACAACCTGTGCATAACCAAAGGTCCTAGATTCGACTCCTTCAAGCGGGAGTCACGAATGTAGACTGTCAAGGCAAAGTTCTAAAGTAGGACGAAATGGCCATGTGTCTAACGGTGCTCTTCTAGTGAAGGAGAATTTTATTTAACGAAAATTACAGAGTTACTCAGTAAAATAGCAAAACCATATCGTAAACGGTTCATTTGCAAATCAACAATCAACAAACATCAATCCATTGTGTGACATTTCAATGTTCATGCGTTTCATACAAATTCCATTGTGTTCCCACTCTTCCTTTCTTGATCTTCCCCCACATCTTCTGCTGCCAGACATTACGTTTTCACTCGCGTCATATACTACTTATAAGTAGCGCGCACCACACTCCAACCAATGTGATCAATTTATGATTTCAATGAAATTTTATTTTGCCTCATATTTTTTTCCTTTCAAACCATACATCGTTTTTTTCCAGCTTACAAATATCATCAGGTGTTGGAAAATCGTTTGAAAGCACATCAAGATTGGCAGCTGCCATCAACTGAAATACAACTTCCACCACAATTTCATCATGATAAAGAAACAAATGCTTTCAGTTATTCAATACGTAAAGGTATCGATTGGAGAAATGTTGAAAATTGATCATTTGACATCCCAGCTTTGTTTGAATCATAGTATTGAATTAGATTACCAGAGTTACATTCAAAACTGCTTTCATACAGTTGATATTTTTTGTGTTTTAAAAACAAACGAAAAGCTATATAACACAGTATTATTATATACTTTTTAGATGTAATAAATTTACTGTTTCTTCCGAAACTAGATAAGTTTGAAACAATTGAGAAATGATTAAATGATACACTTTGGAATTTCATACACAGTGCACACTCCAGTTTATAATCTAACCCCAGTATATTACAGACATATACTACTTGTAAAAGCAGACTATCTTTCGATGTTGCTAGAATATTCATCCAATATCCTAGGAGTGTAGTGAAGGAGAACACAGGTGGGGCAACCGATTTGTATTTAACGGAAATTACAGCGTTACTCAGTAAAATCGGAACACCATATCGTAAATCGTTAATTCGCAAAATATCAATCCATCATATCGAACTGGACTGTTCCTGTTGCAAAATATCAATCCATTGTCTGACATTTCACTGTTCATGCGTTTCATACAAATTCCATTGTGTTCTTCTAACTCTTCCTTTCTTGATCTTCCCCCATCTTCTGCTTCCAGACATTACGTTTTTACTCGTATCATATACTACTTATAAGTAGCGCGCACCACAAGAGAATTGTTGGTCAATTCCTATTGGTTAATCCCTACTGGTCAATTTTATTATCGTCCTAGATATCAATGTCACGTACTCCAATGTTGTTTCTTATTGGTTGTCCTGACTGTTAATGTCACCTCAAATGTTGTTTCCTATTGGTCGTCTTAACTGCCAAGGTCACAGACTTCGATGTTGTTTCCTATTCGACCAAAATGTATAAATACGCATTATGTGTAACATTTTATGACCCGAACCAGGATCCCTAGTCCGGCATTCTGATTCTCTTCTAAACTCAAACCTCGTACTTTCTGGATGCTTGTTAAATACAGGTTCTACTTCATATCAAGTCCCCTTTTTTTATTTAATCGGAGTTGGGACACTCGGATTAGTGTAGCATGTCGTGTCGCGAGATCCTCGGAACTCGTTCTCATTTTCCGACTAAGGTAAACTCGTAATAATAATTCAAGCATATTTTACAATGACGTGTTTACATGCATACGTAACAATTATCAAGTTTACTGCAAACCTTTATAGCTGAGAAAAAAAATAGGAAACAGTTTACAATTGACACTGAGTTTATGAATGACAAAATCAGTGGCATTTTCTATTCTAACGTCTGAAATCCACACTAGTGTATTTAATTAATGGCGGTTTCACAAAAAGTCATTCTCTACAATGTCATCATCATCATCACAATTTTATGTGTTGCCATACACCATATTTCTTTGGTATAAAGAATAACTTTCATTTCCGACATTTCTGTTAATTCTAGAAGATACTGATTAAAGTTAACTTACCGCTAAAAAAGCAATAATTCAAATTTATCTTGATCTGCATTTTAACATATTGCTTTACATCACTTGTACTTATTTCTATCATTTCCGATATACTAAAATCATTCTTACATTGGATTAGTTTAACAGAACCATCATCGTAAGTATGAAACGTTGATTTCTGAAGTTGATTTCCCTTTACAATGTTAACCAGTCATACACTGCTTCCGAATTCACACCTTCTTCGGAGTCAGTTTATCATATTAGAGACACTTGATGTGAATAAATTTGTTTAACACTACTACTAATACTACTACTACTACTATTACTAATACTACTGGTGACCTTCTGCAATATTCTGGCTACCTATTCTCCTAACATCAACATATTTCAAAAAGTTACCTCTTTTGTTTGTTTCAACACGTCAATTGTCCATTAATCACATAACCTGGTCAGGCGCGCATATAAAAAGTCTACGATCCATTGCTTGAAAAGGTAAGAAGAATAATCCCAGACATCTCAGTTTCTGGCTATGTGCTGAGAGTAAGTATTAATAAGATGTCGATTCTTGAACTGCTTACTTCCAGATACCGATAGATGAGAGTTTTGTAATAGAACTTGTTGAAATGTTCCTTGATAAGAATTCCTTAATATACTAGACAGTTAATAACGAATAAAACCATTATCGTCTCTTTGACATTGCATTCACATCTCAAAACAACATAGTTTAGGTTGTCACACCTTTCAGTAAGTTTTTTTGAAATGAAGTCGAATTGAAAACATACTGTTTGCGTCGGGCATAGTACTTACTTACATACTTACGCCTGTTAGATGCAGTTAGATGCTTTTCGTAATGTGTGCCCTATCCACTTCAAACGCATCTTTCTGATTTCCTCCTGCACTGGAATCTGGTTTGTTCTCTCCCACAGTAGGTTGTTGCTGATGGTGTCTGGCCAACGAATACGAAGTATTTTGCGTAGACAACTGTTAATATACACTTGTATCTTCTGGATGATGCCTTTCGTAGTTTTCCAAGTTTCCGCTCCATACAGTAGAACTGTCTTCACATTTGTATTGAAAATCCTGATTTTGGCTTTGGTTGCACGTTGTTTGGAGTTCCAGATATTCTTCCACTGTAGAAATGCAGCCCTTGCTTTGCCAATCCGCGCCCTCACATCTGCATCGGATCCACCTTTCTCGTCGATGATGCTGCCAAGATATGTAAAAGTGTTAACATCCCCCAAGGCATCTCCATCAAGAGTGATTTTGTTGACGCATGTTGTGTTGCATCGGAGAATTTCGCTTTTTCCTTTATGTATGTTGAGACCTACTGCTGCAGAGGCTGCTGCTACACTGGTCGTCTTCTCTTGCATTTGTTGCTGCGTGTGCGATAGAAGAGCCAGGTCATCTGCGAAGTCCAGGTCGTCCAGCTGCGTCGGGAATAGTACTAATCACAAAAGTCATGAAAATGAAATATGCGAAACAGTCTGAAAGCATAAAACCACTGAACTATACAGCCTGAAGAAATGTCCTACAAGATTAAACAACTAATCTACAATACGTTTGATAGATAAATTCAAAAGCAGGAACAAATCGCTTTTCTCTCAAAGGAAAGAGATTTAAGCAATCGAAGGGAACTCTGAGAAAGTTTTACGGAGTAAAGATCTATTTTTCTTCATTTAGGGTATGGATTAAAGTGAATATCTTGGTAAACAGTAAATTCATAGATCCACTGGGTTAAAATAGGTCTTTTAAATAAGTTGCAGACATATAGCTGCGTTCATGGAAATCTACGCAACATAACAGTTGAATTACTACTTCTAATACGACATCATCACGAATAAGGTTTATCCTATGCAGAAGACTATGACCTCCTTTTTTAGTGCAACAGGTTTGATATGATTAGTCCCAATCACAAATCTTATGCAAGGCATGGAAGATGTTGCTGTTTTATTGTTTGATTGAAATAACTAATTAATTATGTATCATAAACTGATAAACTCTTGTGATGGTGATATTTAAAACAATGATTCCATTTTACATTATTCTGCGCCTAATTCGAATTTGAAATATAATTACTTTGTTTATGTTCATGTAATTTTTGCTGAATTCAGTGCTGATCCATACGTGACTACTGCAGTACGAATTGGAAATTGTTTGTGTTACTAGTATATATATGGAATGAAATTAACCCTAAACGACCTGATGCATTGATATTTATTTAGAAATGGGGAACCTTTATATATATATATATATATATAATGGCCGAGAACTGACTTGGATTTGTTCGGACAATTGAATATGCTTTAAAATTAATCTTCCATCTTAGTCCCCGTATATTATTCGTAAGCGAATCCCGAGTGACGATGGTCATTAAAAGCCCAATATGGTTTTCTAAATGAGTTTATTTGGTTCATTCAGTATGAAAACAGACATTAGAGTGAGAAGCATGAAAGCTAAGCAAGGTGAAGCGAAAAAAAGTAGGCTAACTCGATGGATTAGGCATGGCTGAATATTTATGGTCAGACGAAAATAATCTATATATGTGATAATCGAAGTAAACAATGAATGCATACATACCCAAGAAAAGACATTCAAGATTATAGGGACATATCTGAAAGGTCAGAACATGATCGGATAACAGCTTCAGATTAGTAGGTTGATTGGTTCGTCCAAAACCTAGGACAGGCTCCACAGGCCGGACAAATTAGTACAGACTACACTTGAATCTTACATCAACTACTTTTCAGATTATGGTTGAAGACAACCTTTACTTTCATTTGTGATGATAGCATTACAATCTTCATTGCAGAGGATGAGTATTGCGGCTATTTATTTAGAAATCAGTAATAAATCCTTCTCAAAGAATCTACTATCCTACACAGATAGTTTGAGTGACTTGAGAAATTTAAGAACTTTTATTTTGCTGATAAGTACTTTAGTTCCTCATTGTCGGGGAAGGCTGTCAATACGGAATGTTGACTCCTTATTTTCGTAATGATCCCATTGTTATATTCATGTCTTACCACGTCGAATCAGTCAAATATTTCCTGTTCTCATTTATATTTCTATACTTTAGGTATTCATATCTTATTTCCTGATTAGTGTACGCATCAGTCTGCTGAATAGTCTTTGTTATTTAATGTGCAAATCAGTCTGTTCAATGATTTACGGAAAAGTAGCGGATCTGTCCTCAAAGTTCTATCCTAGAATGCGTCAAACAGATAAACATTTCGGTAGGACAGATATTCCAAACCACTGAAATCTACCACCGCTAATATCTTGCTTTCGGAATTCTGATAAACCAATTCAAATCAGTTGGAGTTCACCATCCCATATTTCTCAATTGCATAACATTACCTGACATATTACCCTGTAGAATTCTTTTTGAATGTTTTGTGTTTTGGAAAATCCCTCCATGTTTACATATTTTTGCTATGACCTGATGGACTTTTTCTCTTGACATTTTTGGTATTTTATTTGATTCCAATTTGAGATTTTATCATTGTATATTGTTATTCTTTCTATATTTGTACTTATATTGAAGTTTTTGTGTTTGCTTCTGAACTGTACATATATTGTTTAAATTTGATATAATATGGCTACCGCCACATTTTTGGATGGACGCGGTGGCTGCTGGACTTAGTGTCACTTACTAGCTATTGTACTGGATACTCTACGGAGTAATTTATCCCTGGAAGAAATACAAATACCGTAAGACTCTGTATTTCCATTTTATAATAATAAAGAGACGTTTTCTCCTAGA